AAAAACTCTATTAACCACAACCCCATTGGAAGATTCCCTTCCTTTTCACTGTGTGAATAAGCTCTACATTCACTTCCATATTGTCAGTTGTTTGTTAAATATGAGAAGTTCTCTTTCATGATTTTTTAATGTGGTTTGGAATTGGATAAGGGTCTCCTTCATTCACAAACTCCAGTCCAAATTGCCTTTGGAATATGGGCCACTAGACAGTTTTTGCCCAGCCATGGTACTTCTAGATAAGATGGCAAGGGCAATGGTATTTGCTGCCAAAACCCAATAAAGTATGGGAAAGCCAAAACATCCTGTGGTGATGAAGGCCTCCAGCTGTTACTAGAAATCAACAGAGTTCCTGCCAAATGATTACTTATTACTAAGTGCAATCTGTTTGCCTGGATGAGAGTCTTGCTCAACTGAAAAAGCAGAAAGATCAGCAAGGCTGCTCCCAATGGCCCATCACATCATTTTTATTTTGATCATTTGTCTTAAATGTGTCTGCAGCTGAGCTGATGAGAGGGGAAAAAAAAAGACTCATGGCAAGGCAGTGACATTCCACAAGAGGAATCACTGGTGTATATTTTATGGACCCCTATTAAAGCATGTTAGTCCTGGTTTAAAATACACAGGCATGAAACAACTTTGAGAGACAGAGACTAAAATGGCTTGTGGATTAGTTTTTTAAGAATGAGGAAAACTACCTAAAAGATGTTGTTTCATAGCATTTTAAAATAAATTACGTAAAAATTAACAATAAATAAATAAGAGTTTAAAAAGTGTTGTGGTGTATGAATAATTAGAAACAAAGAAACGTGAAGATATGAATGCACATTTTCATAAAAATATGAAATTACAAAGATACACTGAACTACAACACAAAGGTAGGTAAAGCTGTACTTTAATTAGCTCATTTTATATTTCTAGAGCTTTTTTTTTCTGAAGAAAAGCTAGGATATTCCTTAAGAAAACTTTCACAGCCAAGACACCAATAATTAAATTTCCTGATGTCTTCTGATGTTGGATGAGATGCCCCGGTTGACAGTTCTGACTGGAGGCCAAGAACTGGCTCTGCGTGGTCTGAAACGGAAGGACGGGTTGACTGAAGACCCAGGAACAGCTCCAGTCTCTCTCCTGGGAACGGACATGGAGGGACTGGACGGAACGGACATGGAAAAAGTACTTAATGGCCGAATGCGGGAGGAAAAATCCAGATCTGACAAAGTATGGATTACACTTGGCATAACGTTGACATATGTGTTTGTTGGTCGGAGCAAATTGTAAGTCTTGCCACTCTTGCCACTGGGGAGGGGGATTGAAGTCAGACTAAATTTGAAGGGTATCCAAAAAGAGTATAACTCAGAGTCGCTCCTGTAGTGCATCAGATCGGTGGGCTCGAGAGTTGGAGGTCGCAGTGGCCCGAAATGCCGGCTGTAACTCTGGTCAAACTGACTATCTGACCCGTAGCTAAAATGTTGATCTCTCCCACTTGCTGGAATTAAAAAACAAACTAATTAAGAGAGTTCTGCATTTGCTGTTAAATACCTCTCACAGAGGTACATGTGTGAAGTACTTCTAAGTGTTTGCTTCTTGTCCTAGGTGCTTATTTGAAACACAGAGCACCTG